GTGTGTGTGTGTGTGTGTGTGTGTGTGTGTGTGTGTGTGTGTGTGTTTGTATGTAACACCAGATTAATGAGAAGTACAGGCCAAGATCCACCAATGAATATTGAAATGAATGATGTAAAAGCTTAAGCAAATTAGTGTGCGTGCAGTCTCAAGGAGTGGCTATCAAAAAATGTGGTAGTTGGGGCCAGAAATACATAGCACATGTGAGGCCCCAGGTTTATTCTCCAGCAGGTGCCAGGAAATTATAAATATTTGTTAGTTATTTAAAAAAAAAACAACCGCAGTGCCAAAATCAGGCAGACACCGTGTTTCTTTTTTCCTTTTTTCTTTCTTTTTTTTAAAGAATTATTTATTTTACATATATGAGTGCTCTATCTGTATGTCACTTGCACACCAGAAGAGGGCATCAGATCCTAGTATAGATAGTTGTGAGGCACCATGTGGTTGCTGGGAATTGAACTCAGAACCTCGGGAAGAGCTGACAGTGCTCTTAACTCCTGAGCCATCTCGCCAGCCCAGACACCGTGTTTCTTAAGAGAACAAACTTCACAGCGGAATGTGTCGCATCTTGTTTTCTGACACAGCACACTGAGCGGAGCCCCATGTTCTCACAGTGACCGGTCACCACCATCTGATCACGGGAGAACACCGGCTGAACCCACACTGAGTAGCATCTTGTGGAATGTGTGAATCAGGACTCTTCAGAGCTTGGGATCGTGGAGACCCGTGAGATGTGGGGGAGGATGCTGAGGTGACAGGGCAATAGTTTACATTGGATCCCAGAACTAATGCAGCTTAGGGTCCTGGATTGGATCATGGGGTATGAAGGGGCACTAAAATGGGGGCGGAAGCCAATAAATGGTGTTGCCTAGCTAATAAAATAGTGTTGCCCCAGGCTTCAATCCTTGGTTTGGATGAGTGTTCTGTGGTTATGTAAGATGTTCGCTCACATAAGGGGAAGTTGGGTAACAAGTATATAGGAACACTCTGCACTATTTTTACAACTTGCATGTAAGGATAAAATTATCTCAAAGTAAGAGAATTAAAACAGAAACAAAACAAGGCTTCTCGCAGCTGGTTCAGCTAGGCACACCTGGACTGGGGCATGACTTGAGCTCACAGCTGTGACGCACGTTCAGACTCGTGTCCTCAGCAGGTGGGG